AGATCTATTTCCCCATCATCATATATATTTTCATATGTATATGCCTGTATTCAGACCTCTATAAATGCCCTTTGCCTCCTAGTTCTTTCCTCTAATTCCTTTTACTTTCCTCTTATCCCTCTATCATGTTCAGCCTTCATTTGGGTTTCAGTAATTCGTCTCGGTTACATTGCCTTTGATCAAGCCCTACCAGGAGGCTGCACATTTTTAAGAGAGCAGAAAGCCCATCTTTCTCCAGCTGGTGGGTTCTAACTGCTGACATTCCAGTGAGTAGCCCCACTGGGGCTCCGTGTACAAGTTAGTGACGTTCAGTACAGTTGTCATGTTGTGCAACCATCACCAGTACGCTGTCTGTTGCCCACTGTCTAGCACCATAAACAGAAACTGCTTCCTACACGATGCCTCCCTCTCCCCCTCGGTCCTGCTTGGTAACCTCTGGTCTCTGCACATTTGCCCAGTCTAGCTATTTCAAAGAAGGGTCTCACATTCCCTATTCAAGGCACAGATTCAGCGGGGCAATTACATCATGACTTCTCAACTCACCACTGCAAAGAAACAATTTGCACCCGAAAGCAGGCTTGAGCATTATTTCACACTCCACGGGATTTCCTTGAAGCAGACATACTTCCAGACACACGCGGTGTCCAGTCTGCTTCTGTTTACCCAGCCCAAGCTTTGATGCTGTCACCCAGCAAGTGACAGAACAGCCTGCCTCAACGACAGGAGCCCTATGTAAACGTGCAGGCACATGGCCCTCTGACCTGGTAGTTGACGGATGAAGGGTGAATGTGCACGTAGCCATCGTTCTTGGTGACAAACTTCAACTCTTCTGATTTTGGTTTCATTCTCACAGCTCCGATACTGGTCTTCTGAAATTTCCCTTCTGGGCTTTTCACCTACACAACAGGTATTGGTGAACACAGACACACGAGCATAAGATGTACTACATCGACAGAGCGCTCCCTGGCACTAAAACCATTCTTTGCTGAAGGGCGTTGCTGTTTCTTCCTTTTCTCATGTACTTGGTTCCTTTTGAAAACAGCCCATGCATTCTGCCACTCAGACACGTAGGTGCAGGGTAGCAGCTCTGAGCGAGCAGGCCACACAGCAGCATGTGGAGGAGGGAACACGCTGCTGCTCCCCTGGGTCTGCACTGACTGTCAGGTGCAGCTGATCTCCATGAGCAACACTGGCCGAGGGACAACATTCCCACTTACATTTCTTTAAACACACACACACACACACACACACACACACAATGAATAAACAGATGATTTCATTTGAAAACATTAATGAAATCTTCCACGTATACATGAATTATATACCTATATATTTTCAAAGATGGTAAATACATGCTTCATGTAGCAAATACATATTAGGAAAAAAGGTGAAAAAAAGATGTAATCCCATGATTAGGAAATACCTAGTATTAATATTTGATGAATAGAATTTTTGTTTTCTTTGCTAGGTAAGTTTATGTATACAGAGATAACCATACACATGTGCTATAAAAATATATGTATATATTCACAATACAGTTGGGTAATTCTTTTTACAACCTACTTTTAAAACCACCATTTTCCCATGTTGTTAAATATTTTCTAACGACAAAGTCTTTAATACCTACATGGTATCTGTTTAGACAATAGACTTCCTATCACTGCAAATTCAGATGGCCTGCCAGGAGGAGGAGGGGCACTCAAACATTCTTCTAGTGCTGTCTTCGTCCAGCACGTGCTATTTCCTAGTGATAAATCCCTAGGCATGACACTGCTTGCTGGAAAGGGTGGGTCTGCTTATATTCTCTCCACGAGTCACACCACATTTCTGAGGCTCATGAAAGCCCATTTAAAATTTACCAAATGTAAAAAATATTATTTCTTTGTTGGAAAGTATTATTTCTATTTCTGAAAGTAACATGAGCTATTTCTTTGTTGTTCTAACTTGCGTTTCTTCATCCTCGTAACAGTACATCGTTTCTCTGTGTGCGTACTGCCTGTTCCCTCCTGTTCTAGTTGTGGAGTGCTTCCACACATAGCCAGGTATTTTCACTCTTGGCTCAGTATCAAAATTATTAGTTACCTAAGATTTCTTCCACCACACCGATGGCTTGCATTTCTACATTTCAGGTCTCTGTATTTTTTTCCTGTTTCCTCAAATCTTTTTATTTTGAAATCATAGAGATTCATAGAAAGTTACCAATTTATAGGGTCCCTTGCACCCTCCCCTTCCGCTAGTGGTAAGACCTTAAATAACCAGAGTAGACTATCAAAACCAACGGACTGATATCAACATTTTTTTGAAAGTACATTTCAAACACATGCAAGTTCTATGTTGAAAGTGAACCACAATGTAAGCACAATGTAACCGATGCTAAGTGAGAATTTTTTTTAAATGAAGGCCTTGAGAAGTGATTTACTACTCTGCCCAATTCAAATTCTTCCCTGGTTTGAAATGGTTCCTTGTTAGGACTGAACATCAGAACTCAGGGAAAAGTCCGAGGGTGCAATTAGGCAGGATCCCTCTCCAGAGGACGGCCACGGTACTGATTCGTGTCATCTGCTCTCAGCTAATTTTTGGCCAGAGGGAATCTGGGGAAATGGAAACGGCGGGAGAATCAACCGCATGGCTAAGTGAGAAGGTCAGTTAAGCACATGCTGGCGGACTGAGTGGCCTCTATGCTCTTCTTAATTTCTGGCTTGTCTTAAAATGCCAGAAGGATTTTGAAGGCATTGCGCTTGATGTGATGCACACGCTAGGGAATGACACATCAGGCTGCTGCAGCGACAGGAAGGAGTGGAAATGAGCGCGGAGGAGATGCGACGAGGCAGCTCCTTACAAGCATGCTTCTCTTTCTGTTGATTAACGTGTAAATCTGAACCTACAGCCCTTGCCCACAGGTCGACAAGAAATGGGAGGATCCAGCAAAAATGTTTTGTTACCTGCACTACATTTGGATACAGAGCAGCACATAGAATTGCGGATATCAGCTTGGGGTTCTCAGCATTGGAGTTTGCCTGTAAGAGAATACAGCATTCATCTTAGTAGTAGTTTTGTCACGTCATGTGGCTACTTCTGTCTGTGTCCTGGGATTCACCAGTGTCTGTCAGTTGATCTCTATCTTAACAAAACATAAAAGGACAGTGGTTCCTACCATTTTTACTAGAAACAATGATTTCTTTCTAAGTCAACGATAAGTTACGGGGTCACATCCATACAAGATTCACTCCAAGGAGCTTTGCAGGGACCCAGAAAGACCTTCCTAGATCTAGGTCTCGGAAAAGCAGCTACAAAAGTAGGCTTGCTAAGGGTCAGAGGAGAAGTGCTAACTGCACTTAGAACAGGAGCACCAGGGCCACCACGAGGAAGTGGTCTTCCTACAGTTCACAGGATACAGCCTGGCTGGAACGAGCTAGGGCTGATTTGAGAACACATTATTTGGAGAGTTTTTCTTACTTCCTATGGATTTATCAAGAACCAGAATGACAATAAAAATACAAAAATTGCAACACCAGAAAAACGCTTCTGTCTATATTAATGACAGTTGACACTTAATTGTAGAAAGAAGATGATCAAGACGACCCCCAGGCCTTAGGTGACATCGAATGCTCACGTGCTGAGGAAAGAGACAGAAAGACCAAGATCTGCTGGGGAAAACCTTTAGGAGGTGCTCCACTTGGCAGCACACAAGGCCCCCGGTGAGACAGGGCCGCTGCTGCTTGTGTGTGCCACACCCTTTACCTCTTCTCCTGTGGTATCCAGCACACCATCTCCTTCGAGGGCCCTCTTCTCAATGTCCCGTGCTCTGAGGCCCTCCTTCACAAACCCTATATCTGATAACAGCTCAGTGAATTGTCGTTTGAGGCTGGCCATTTCCTGAAAGAGGAGAGGCATCGATTTCTTAATGAAGGTAAACGTAGTCTTCCCAGTGCGTGAGGAGAGAAACATCACTGCCGTGGACAGCACCGAGGTGGGTTCATCAACAGATCGGGGAGGACCTTGATGGGCATTTCCCAAAGGGCAGTTTTCATTTGGACACACCAACAGTGTGAAACGTTTACACACAACTTCAAAAGTGGCAGAAGAGTCCATCTTTTCTAGGCTAACTCTAGGTTACGCTTTTCCACACTTTTATTTTATTTTGGCTCAGTCTGATTTCCCAGGAAATTCCTAGGAGTTAAGCTTATTTAGTGTGGAAACCTGACTTAAAGCAAGTGCTGCACATTTCGGCCCCATTCCTCCTGGGGCCTAGAGCGAGAACAGCCCTCCCCAGCAGGCGCAGCTCTCTCCCCTGGCCCTCACCTTCTCCAGGAGCAGGGCCGCTGGTAGTGGTTTCAATGTAAACACCCCTTTTGAAGCTGAAGGAGCACTGGTGGCCCAGTGGTCAAGTGCTCGGCTGTGAGACTGAAGGTTGGCGGTTTCAGCCCACCCTGACTCCTGGGAGAAAGCTGGGGCAGTCTGTTCTCATAAAGATTCCAGCCTTGGAATGCTTGAGCCGGACTCAACAGCAGTATTTTTAGTGCCTTTCCTTTTTTTGTCTGTAGCTGGGCACAAATACAAGAAATCCAAAGCTCTTTGTCTTCTGGCTTCTGCTCAAATACAGGCTGAATATTAGACCACAGGGACGGAGCTGATCACTGAACTGAAATTAAGCACACCGTCCTGTCTCTCTTCAGGAGCCCTGGTGGTGTAGTGGGTTACGACTTGGGCTGCTAGCTACAAGGTCAGCAGTTTGAAACCACAAGCCCCTCCACAGGAAAGGTGAAGCTTTCTACTCGATAAAGATTTTATAGGTTTGGAAACCCACAAAGGCAGTTCTACCCTGTCCTACAGTATGAGTCAGTATCAACTCGATGGCGATGAGGGTTTTTTTGTTTTTGAGACCTATCTTGACAATAATTTAAATATTTTCTTGGCATGTCTCCCATCTACATGGATAACGCAGCAAATATAATAGGAGTTAAAGGTAGAAGCATTTTTATTTAATGACAAAGAGACGTGATTTTTTTTAAGCCTATAATCTGAGCTGGAGTTTAGTGGAAAGAGGGAACAGTTTGGTGGACCTCAGAGTTTACACCAAATCTATACATCCTGAGTGAAAAGAATAAATACACTTAGGTGGAACTGTGGGTGAGGCATTGAGCTGTTAAACCACAAGGGCCACAGTTCAAAGACAGTAACCATTCTTTCAGAGAAACCTGAGGCTGTCTGCGATTTACAGTCTCAGAAACCTAATATAGGATTGCTATGGGATTTTTGGATTTTATCATAATTTTACTTTAAAAATTGTAATGACTTGGGCAAATATTTATGATTGCACCCTACACTTAAGATACTTAAGATAAAAGGTTATCCACCCGACTGCAGATTCAAATCACTTGGTGGACTCAACAACGGCAGGAGCAGCTGCCAGATCCCTCAGTCCACCCAAGACGCAGACTGAATTGGCCTGGGGTAGAACCTATCCGTTCTCATTGGTTTTAAGCCTCCCCAAGGGACTCTAGTGCTCGGCCAGGGTTGAAGCTATGCCTCTCAACGAAACCACAGCTCTGCTGTCTTCTCAAAATGTCTCATGGAGTCTCCCTAACAGCAGAGGAATATGAGGCAAACACTGGGATGGTTTTGAGGTCTTTTATTTAATCACATATATATATAAATGTATACATAATTTTCTAATATGAATTGGCCTATAAAAATTTTTTTATTTAGACTAATGCATTTCAAACCTTAACATTCATATGACTCTCCTGGGGATTCTCATTTGTTGGTATGGGTGGTCTTCTACTCAAAAACTATCATAGAGACCCTATTAAACAGAGAATTGGCCCCTGTGAGTTCTTGTCACTGTTCCTTTGAGTAGAAAGCCTCTTCTTTCTCCTGAGGAGCAGCTGGTGATTTCAAACTGCTGACCTTGAGGTTAGCAGCCCAACTCACAACCCACTATAGCAAATAGGGCTCCACTTGGGTGGTCTTACTTTACCTTAAATAACTATATTCACTTGTTCATGTATTTATTCTATGAATCCTTAATGACTACCAACTACATGCACTGGGGATCCGGTGGGGAATAGAAGCAAGCTTCTGCTCTGAACTAGTTTATAAAATGGAGAGAGATAAATAGATATCAGGTACTGACTACTAAGAAGAATGTTCATGTTTCAACACTCCACAAGATATCAATGTTTTAATATGAAAATAAAGTTCATCTCCTCCCCTAGCCCTGAAATCTTTGAGTGAAACAGATCCTTTGCTAATCTACACAGCATGCTTATTTGGTGTCTACTAGCAGTTTGTAAAGAACATCATTACAACAGGAGACAGAAGGCCTGTCCACTTTGATGCAGAAGATAGTAAACCTTTGTCTCTCTTGTATACTCATTAATTAAAGTGACCAGATGTCCCGCTTTTGGTGGGACAGTCCCGATTTTTAACAATTTTTCCCGTGTTCCATGGCATTTTAGAAAAGTCCCGATTTTTGGAAAGAATGCACGACAAGCTAGGGTATATGGTTTTCGGCTGCCATGTGGCTATTTCACCAGGATATGAGTTTTATTAATGGTGTCCCGCTTTATCAATGTTAAAATCTGGTCACCTTATCATTAATGGATCTGCAGTAGCTTCTGACAGACATAAGAATAATTAACAAAGAAACTCTGGTTCAGGAGTCCTTTGGTTTCTGGGAAAAGAGAGGTGATAGGGGATGGCATAAAACTCTGTGAGGTCTGATGAAAGTGTTGTTCCTTTTCTCCCTAATTATGTACATGCCTATAATAAACAGTTTTGTATACACTTTACAGGGCTTACACACCTAGGTTAACAATAATGCCTGGCAGAAGTATAGAAACATGTGACTTTCAGGGGCCTCTCCTCCATTCCAGTAGACATAACTTCCCGGATAAGAGGACAAATGGGATCGGCTGATGATTCACTACAGAAGGCTTGATCTCAGACTCTAGGAGCCGTTGTCCAAGTCCCACAAATAACGTTTTCAATGCAAAGACAGGGCAAGTGAGACAGAGTGGCAATACCCCCTCACCAGCCCCCACCCCCCAGCTTCTACAACAGAAAAGGAATGATAACCACCTGCCGCAGAAAGGACTCACCTGGAGCACCCTTCCTGACAAGAAGTTCTGTCTGCAGTAATTGTAACTTGCACGCATACCTTCTTTTGTACTTAGCTGCCATCCCTAGATTTTGGAGAAAATCAAACAGAACTTACTCGGTTTTCAGATTCAAGCCCGGCAACAGACCTCAGTGATTAGGTTATGGACTTACTTTATATGCTCGGAGAAGGGCCAGGTAATCACTGTTTGCGAAGGCAAATTCCAGCTTTTTCTGGTTAGCTTCCTCTTTCTTGTCCCAGGGAGACACCTAAACAAGGAAAGGCAGAATTGAAGGCCACCTGGGATCCTTGGCTTTCTCCTGCTGTCGCAAGGTGCAGGGCGTAAGCATTTTATGTGGCACCAGAATCCTCAGAGAGGGGCTGAGTAAAGACATCTAATAATCTGATGAGACTCCTGGTCACCCTGATGGCACCAAAGTGCCACTCTGATCTGAAATTTGAGATTTCGGATCTGTATTTAACAGATTTTTGTTTATCTTTTATACGTGAGTCACCCCTGCTTCTGTACTCACAACTATGCTTGCCTCCTTTTTTACAAAATGTTTGTGGCCCCTTTTCCTAACACATGTCTAAGGTTGACAGAGCACTGAGTTCCCGAGGTTTCTGCCGCTCACCCCCACCTCCACCCCACGCCACACCTGACTGCTCCATTCTGACGCTTCTCTGCTCTCCCGGGCCTCTGCGGACTCCAGCATGAGGTGCAATAGAGCTCTTACAGCTGAACCAGCGCCCTGCCTGTTAACACCAATCGTAGGACCTTTATCTGATTTTCCTTTACTTGAATAACTCAAAGCTAACACAACAACAAAAACCTTTTCTTTTCTGCTTCTTTACATAGAAGTAAAGTTGATTTCCTTGAAAGAAGGCCAGCAGGGAAAGGACTCCATGTGGGAGATGAGTATCATGTTGACAGGGGCTCAGATGACCTAGGCAATTCTAATGAAGTCGCTCAGTTTTCCAGTAGAAGAGGTCTAGGTGAGCTGAGAAACGGACGAGGTGAGGTCCGGCTCTCCCACTGATACCATCGCCCGCCTTCAGGACCTTGGGTTTCTCCTCTGTGGTTCAGTGAGGGAGGTGGACTAAGGCCTTTTTTTTGCAGACCTGTGAGTTTACAATTCTATGAAGTAAAAACATTAGCAGTAAAGAAAAAGTTACACGCATATATCTCCATAGCTAAGGAGCCTTCGTAGTTGCAGTGGTTAAAGCAAAAGGTTGGGGTTCAAACCCACCAAGCAGCTCCAGTGGTGAAAAGATCTGGAGACCTGTGTCCATGACGATTACATCCTAGGGAACATGGAGGGGCAGTTATGCTTAGTCACGGGGGTGGGGTGAAGGTGGCTAGAAGTAAGAATCTTCTTCACGTTACAGGAGGACTTCTCTACCTATGAAGAGAGGCCATGGTAAAATGAAGGCAGGATGGTCCCAGGGGGTATAAAAATGTATTGATCATGTCCCCTGCCCCACCAGATTCAAATAAACTCTTTTATCTAAGGCAGTGGGATAGAATGACCCTTTCATAGAGGTCACCTACAACCATCAGAAAACACACATTTCTGATGGTCTTAGGAACCGAGACACCACTCCTCTATCCGTCTCCAGGCGGGTCTGCCCACATGCAGACACCCTCACTTACGAGTACCTGGCGTGATGACATCATCACGCCAACCCCGTCACATATAGCCCTACAAATACAAGTGTATGTGGCAGGGTTGGTGCCATAATGTACTTAGGCAGATCAGTCACACGTGTCGAGAGCAGCTACTGTGTTGAAGGCACCTGCTCTGTTAGCAGCAGCTACTGTGTTGAAAGCAGCCATATTGGAGGTAAACCGACACTTCACCAATTATAATTACTGGGTAAATATAAAATCATGTACTGTAAAATCATCAACTACTGCAAAAAAAAATCTGTACCATGGGAACTTAATCTGGATGCTGACTGGGCTTTTTATATTCAGCTGTGGTTGATATGAATATTGCCCCCTTGTGATAATTATGAAGTAGCAACAAAAATAATTTTATGTCAACCAGAACCAGAAAACACTCCCAAAGGTCAACAAACAGACCTTGAACTATTTATAGGCCTTTCTTTTTTTGTCGTTGGTTTTTTGTTGTTTTGTTTTCTTTAGTTGCTTTGTTTTGCTCTGTTAGTTTTTTGTGCATATTATTATCTCTGCAGGTCTATCTAGATAAGATAGGCGGGATAAACAATCTGGAAGAGAAAACAACGGGACCAACAGTTCAGAGGGGACATGGGAGAGGGAGAGGCAGGGGAAAGGAAGTCGGTGTTAAACCCAGGGACAAGGGAACAAGTAATCCAAAAAACGGTGGCGAAGAGGGTGTAAGAGGCCTGGTAGGGCTTGATCAAGGTTAATGCAACCAAGAGGAATTACTGAGGGTGAGTGCGGAATGGGGACCCAAAACCCATCTGTAGGCAACTGGAGATCCCCTTACAGAAGGGTCGTGGGGAGACAAGCCAGTCAGGGCGCAGTATAGCACTGATGAAACATACAACTTTTCTCTAGTTCTTTAATGCTTCCTCCTCCCCACTATCATGATCTCAATTCTACCTTACAAATCTGGCTAGACCAGAGGATGTATATACAGATAGGAACTGGAAACACAGGGAATCCAGGCAGATGATCCCTTCAGGATCAGTGGTGAGAATGGCGATACTGGGAGGATAGAGGGAGGGTGAGTGGAAAGGGGGAACCGATTATAGGGATCTACATATAACCTCCTCCCTGGGGGATGGATAACAGGAAAGTGGGTGAAGGGAGACGTTGGACAGTGTAAGACATGACAAAATAATAATTTATAAATTATCAAGGGTTCATGAGGGAGGGGGAAGCAGGGAGGAAAGGGGGGAAAATGAGAAGCTGATGCCAGGGGCTTACATAGAGAGCAAATGTTTTGAGAATGATGAGGGTAACGAATGTACAAATGTGCTTTATACAATTTATGTATGTATGGACTGTGATAAGAGTTGTATGAGCCCCCAATAAAATGATTAAAAAAAAACACCCAAAAAACCCCTCAGAGCCAATAGTGAGAGGAGTGATACCAGGAGGGTAAGAGAAAGGTGGGGGAGAAAGTAGGAACCGATCACAATGATCTACATATAACCCCCTACCTGGGGGATGGACAACAGAAAATGGGTGAAGTGAGACATCGAATAGTGTAAGACATAACAAAATAATTTATAAATTATCAAGAGTTTTGGAGGGAGGGTAGGAGGGGAAAAATGAGGAGCTGATACCAAGGGGATCAAGTAGAAAGCAAATATTTTGAGAATGATGATGGCAACAAATGTACAAATGTGTTCGACACAATGGATGGATGTTTGGATTGTGATGAGTTGTATGAGCCCCCAATAAAATTATTTTTTTAAATAATAAAATAATTTTATGGTTGGGGGGGGTCACAACATGAGGAACTTTATTAAAGGGCCGCTGCATTAGGAAGGTTGAGAACCACTAATGATCTAAGGGGTAAATGCCATCCATGCTAGCTTTTGCTCAGCATTGGAGTATGTTGATGAATTCAAGGATTCCTGTCTTGCTGGAAACTGAATTGTAAAAATAGAAACAGAAGGGGAGAAGAAGAGAAAATGAAGAAGCTAATCGATGACACTGGGAGTGTGTGTTTGTGGCACCCAGGCAGAGAGAAAGCCCAGGAGAGGTGATCTGCACTGCTTCCACTTCACTAAGCTAATGTGACCACTCCTCAGCTGGTTAGTGGGAGACTAGCTGATTCCCAAGTGCTTTCTATCAGTCCCTCGGGGGTCCCCACAAGCGCCTCCTTTTGTTTGGGTTTGTAAATGTCCTTTCTTTTCTTGCTTCTGGGTGCTCTTTTGCTTTTTAATCCTGCATGTCTCCTCCTTGAAGTCAACACATTTAGCTGGCTTGAATCAAGATTTAAAAAAACACAACAATCAGGTCATTCATCGAGTTTCAGGTGAAACCACATAGCAGAGAACATGCCCGTTTAACATTTTTTTTTAACACAAATTGCTCAATGACACTGGTTAGTTTTCACAATGTGTCACCATTCTTTGATGGATCTGGTTTCCCCTCCCTCCCCCTCTGTCTTCTCATCTTTGCAGCTGTTTGGTCTCATGTTGTGTAAGGGCGCACATTACTCCTGGGTGATGTTATTTATCAGCCATCTTATTATTGACTGTGAAAAGTGGCCCCCAGAGATGGCATGAGTTCCAAGTTCAAAGGTTATCTAAAGGCGACAGTCTCAGGGGCTCTTCTAGTTTCTACTGATTCAGTAAGTTTCTTGCTCTTTAAAGCCATGCTGGGGCATCTTTTGCTCATTTGCATCTTCTGATTTTTCTAGAGCAGGCAAATATCATATAGAAAGAGATCATTTTAATCATGTAGATGCTAGTTCTTCATTTTTATTTGGGATGTGGACCTCTTTGAAGACCAGATGAAAGTTATGTACAGTCTGCCCTGAAAAACCCACAGAAAGCACAGGAGAACATTTTTTAAGGGGCTCACACACCCGCTTAGAGACCCAGGGGCCTGGGGTTTAGATGAAAGCTGTTTACTTACAAAAGGAGCCTTAAAGGCCAAACTGGCAGCAATGGTGAGAGCAGGATCCAGACAGCGGAAGATGGACCCAAACAGCATCAGTTTGCCGATCCTCACATCCACGGGCAGAGAGGCCAAGTGGTACCCCAGGGGGGTCAACTTTTCATCTTGGGTCAGTGCTCCCAAGTCTCGCAACCGCATTTTGGATGCTCGGAGGGACTCCGCGTGTGGAGGTTCAATGAGCCGGGCGAACACAGACTGGAGGGGATGGGCACTAAACATCTCTAAAATTTTAATTCTGAACAAAGAAAACACCAGAAATAATGTGCTAGTCTTATTCCCAGGGAACTGACACAGAAGAGCAAGACAGGATTTTTGTGAATGAAAATTAACTCCCCAGAAATATGATTTTATAAATTGACAATGCTAGTATGAATATTTTATTTTTTAAAATGTCTTAGGCCGATGGCAATGTACAAATATGCTTGACACAATGGATGGATGGATGGAGTGTGATAAGAGTTGTACGAGTCCCCAATAAAATGATAAAAAGAAAACTGTCTTATGCCATCTAGTTCTCCTAGCAATAAACTACTGACACACTTACAGATTCTAAGAATTTTCCAGGCTCAGAATAAAATCTTCTCTTTAACCTTTCAAAATGGTTCCTTTCATACCAAAACAAACCAAAAATCCGAGCCCAGTCCCATCGTGTTGATTCTCTGGGCAACTCTACACAGGGTTTCTGAGGCTGTGAATCGTTACAGGAGCAGACAGCCCGATTTTCTCCTGTAGCAGTGGGTTCAAATTATGAAATAAAACTCAAATGAATCATTTACTGTTTCACAGCTGAACTTCCCGTTATCGTTCATGAAATGAATCTGCTTTCTGCCTTGCGATAGCTCTTGAGAACTACTGTCTTACACAACTTCCAGCTTTTGCAGGTTTTACTGTATAAAATTTTATCTATTTTAGTTATTTCGTTTTTCAGATGTCGACCTTTGTACATGCTGTAGGAGTTGGAATGCTACCCACAAGACTACAGTTTGAACTCACCAGCCGCTCTGAAGGGGCAAGATGAGACCATCTGTTTCCAGGAAGATTTGCAGCCTCGGACACCCACAGGGGCGGGTCTACTATTCTGTAGTTTCATTAAGAACTGGAATCAACTCGATGGCAGTGAGGTTTATGTTTTTGAGTATTTCTATTCGAAATTTTGAGTATTTCTTTTAGTTTGGATTACTTTCCTGATTCACTTTGTAATTTTTTCCTCAACAGTTTTATTGGCTTCTAATTTACCTATCATACAACTCAACCATTCCATCACATTAAGAAGAGTTGTACAATCACATATATGTATTCTTAAGCTCGACTGTAGGGCCATCATCCTCTGCAATGTAAGATGTCTTTTGAGGAAAAAGTTAGCAAGAACAGTGAAGACAACACTGAAGATCTTTTTGTTGGTAAATAAATGGTTTCATCCACGGCCACACTTAACAACAGCTTGATTAGGTAAAAGAAACACCTGGGACCTTAATAGGCGGGGAACATTCAGACCCTCTGGAAGGAGCGTACCTCAGACACAGCTGCTCCAACGGCACTCTCTGTATTTCTGGCAGCTGCTGCTTTAGCAGCTGGTGGCTGTAGTGATGGCTGGTGAATAAGTGGAAGCAGACCCCAGAAGCAACACGGCCGGCTCGGCCTTTCCTTTGTAGGGCATTAGCCTGAGACACAAAAGTGTCCTCCAGACTCTCCATACCTTTGCTTGCATCATATCTATAAAGAGATAAAACATGTGAAAAAGAGAGTTAGTTTACAAATAGGTGTCCAAGCCTCTATCTGACATGGGCAGAACAGAACCACCACCAGGAAGACATAGGCCCTGGGCGTCCTGGGATCCCAGAGCCCCGGGGAGGTGCCAAGTGCTGGTGTTACACGGTAGCCAGTGCCAGCAGTTTCTTTATTCAAATGTGCTTTCTTCAAACAAGTGTGCAAGCACAATGCAAAAAGAGGAAGAATAATTTTTAAAATTATATTATTAGGGGCTCATGCAATTCATCACAATCCAGACATCCATCCATTGCGTCAAGCACATTTGCACATCTGCCGCTATCATCTTCAAAATTCTCTTTCTACCCGAGCTCCGCGGAGGAATAATTTCTTGCTTTCCAGGAAACCCTTACATTGAGTTTAAGACTCAAGGTCTTAGCTACAGAATCGCTCACACATCCACATCGAGGTCTCATAAAGCACCCCATCCCCACCCCCGCAGGAAGCATGGGCCCAACAGCAGCAGACACTAGCAGCCTCTTTGGCCCCGCTTCCATCAGCAAAAGAGAATACCTCTTTTCTTTCATTTTCCCAGAATCGATGACATAGACCACATCATCAATGGTTATGGATGTCTCGGCAATATTGGTGGAAATGATGATCTTAGTCACACCGACAGGAGGCTTTACAAACACAGCCTGCTGCTCTTCGCTGGACAGAGATGAATGAAGCGGATGAATCACACATCTGGAAAGACAGAAAAGGCACAGCAGGTTTTCTAGTACAGAGCACTGACACTGGATCTCTGTGGGTGACTTTGTATTCAAATTATCAGACTGTGAAGTGTCAGCGCCTTCTCTATAACCGGAGCTCGGGGCTGCCCTATCAATACAACTCCTCGGAACCCCACAGCACTCAGTAGAAATGACTCAATATAGTTCCCGCGGCTGCACACCTTATTTAGTGAGGCTTATGGAAATAGGCTGCCCCGTCGTCCCCCTAAGGGAGCAGCAACTGATGGGTTTGAGGGAGCCACCTTCTGGTGTATAGGCCAACGCTTAACCCACTATGCCACAGGTCTCCTTTCTCAAGGCTTAGACCTTCTAAGTGGGACGACTCTTTCTGATCTTTACAAAAGATTCACTCTGTTCTCTGAAGTCAGCCTGGCACCTCTGTGAGGCCGCGGTCTTGGGCGCACTAGCTGCGCAGCTCTCCTCTGATGCACGCATGGTCAGAAGCAACAGGAGCGGGCTCACTGGCAGGGGCGTTTTGATCAACCAATCGCATCATCCTGGGAAACATATTGGTGTGTAATTCAAACAAAAGGAATACAGAGCTAAGATTCTATAATTAACAAGCCTAGAGTCAACTAACCAACAAAGAGCTATTTCTTTTTCTTGACCTTTAAATCCAGAGAAAGAGGTAGAGGCGGTGATATTAACTATGAAATGACATGCCCATAGTTCTGGGGGCTGTTCATCCGTCAAACACTTTTCCTTTTAAGTATGAAGATATACTCAGAAGGTCTTCCTATTGGGATAGGAGCCACTGAATTTTGTTTCTTTAAAAGTGGTAGTGATCTTTCTATGTTGTTACTAACAAATGGCCTTCTCCACACCTGCAAGCTCCTGACAACAGCAATCATAAGCGAGTTTGCTGACTTGGTATGCCAAGCAGAGAGAAAATATTGCCACTTTTTAATGGCAGGGAAGTAAGTGATTTTCCAGGGCAAATGTGATTTCTACACCAGTGGGCATAAACAAACATATTCTTGGGTCTTAAGAGGGCACTGGCTGTAAGTGAAAGCACTCGGGTCACTGCAGCAGATGGACGCCGGCAGCTTACTGAGCACTGCGCCTGTTGTTGAAGAGAGGATTTGATTGTAGCTGTTCGTAAAGCATCTTGATTTCAGCCAGTCCCGGTAAAAACACAAGTATAGCACCTGGGTATATAAGAGAAATCAAATTGAAAGAGACAAAAAGGGAAAAAACAATATAAAAGAGAAAGGTAATTTCAAAAATTAAAAAAAGAAACAAAAACGTGTTAATCCGAGCATCTAAAAAAAAATTTGATTGGGGGCTCTTTCAGCTTTTATAACAATCCATACCGCAATTGTATCAAGCACATTTATACATATGTTGACACCATCCTTTTCAACACATTTTCTTTCACATTTTCTATTTGAGCCCTTGGTATGAGCTGCTCATTTTTTACCTCCTTCCCCCACCCTCTCACCCTCATGAACCTGTGTTATTATTTTCATATTTTACACCATGCACTGTCTCCCTTCACCCATGTTTCTGTTGTTCGTCACCCTGGTGGTAGTGGTGGTGTTATACGTTGATTGAGCATTGAGATCTGTTCCCCCTTTCTCCCCTCACCTTCCCCCTACCCTCATAGTACCACTATTCCCATTATTGTTTCTGAGGGGTTTATTTTTCCTGGATTCCATGTGTCAAGAGCGCTTATCTGTATCAGTCAGTGTACATGGTCTGTTCTAGCTGGATTTATAAGAACTGGGGCCATGATAGTGGGGGGGAGGAAGCATTAAAGAACTAGAGGAATGTTGTATGTTTCATCAGTGCTATACTGCATCCAATCTGACTCATCCTTCCTTGTGACCCTTCTGTAAGGGGATGTCCAATTGTCTACAGATGGGCTTTGGGCCTCCACTCCACACACCCCCTCCTCATTTCCATCGATATGATTGTTTTGGTCTTCTGATATCTAATCCTCTTGACACCTCATGATCACACAGGCTGGTGTGCTTATTCCATGTGGACTTTGTTGCTTCCCAGCTAAATGGCCGCTTATCTTCAGGCACTGTATCTTTTAATAGCTGGGCCCCATCAACTTTCTTCACCACATTTGCTTATGCACCCATTTTGTCCTCAGGGATTGTGTTAAGAAGGTGAACATCCCCCCCCCACCCAGAAGAATTTATTTCAAAGGACGGCATTGAATCTGCAGCTCTGGGAGAGGGACATATCTGTTGGGAACACACAGGAGCAGATGAAGGGGGAGGAAGAGAGAGTGGAGCACATCCTGGCCCACCAGGCCTAGAGGATGATGTTCCCAATTAGAGCAGCCAGTCTAGAGAGGACCACATGGCCGGCCCCACTATGAGACATGATGTCCCTCACTGACCAATAGCCCTTCAGGGGACAACACCGGAGACACAGTGTGGGAATTGCGCCCGATCTGATCCTGCCATACTGAGGCAAAACACTAAGGGGGTGCAACAGAGCAGCAAGGGAAAGGAGCGGCAAGGTTCCCATGGAATGCTGAAGGTGGACTTTGGGGCCAGGGCGTGGTGCCCCAACAGACTGTACTGGAAAACACTCCTAAAGGCCAAAAAACAGTCCTTGAACTAACTATAAGCTTTTCTTTCTTGTTGTGTTTTGTTTTGCTTTTTGTCATTGGTTTGTTGTTGTTGTTTTATTGTATATTATTGCTTGGTTTTGCTCTGTCTTGTTTTTGTGCATGTTCTCTACGCAGGTTTGTCAAATTAGATAGGCTGGATGAACCATCTGGAGGAGAAAACAATGGGACCGACAGTTCTGGGGGGGACATGGGAGAGGGGGAGGTGGGGGGAAAGGTAGTGGTGTTAACAAACCCAGGGACAAGGGAACAACAAGTGATCCAAATTGGTGGTGAGGAGGG